GGATTTTCGGGGAGCAGCTCCGAGGAGGAGGAGGAGGAAGGGGATGAAGGCCAGGCAGTGTCCGAGTCAGTGCTCTCCTCCCTGGGGCCACAGGGGGTGGTGGGGCACTGCCAGGAATTAATTAATTAATTCATTAATTAGTTGTCAATATGTTCTGTTTTACACATCACAATTTTAATATCTCCTTAGTGCTGTGCTGTTAAAATAATTACTTGTATTTAATGCACTTGTAGTAATTAAACTACCTGGGGTTTTTACCATTTTTTAACCATTTTTACTATTTTTTTTACCTTTTTTTTACCATTTAATGCAGTATTTTCACTTGTCATTGCACTAGTAGTAGTTACTTTTGCCTTTAGAGCTGTGCATTTACTGGGAGTAACCTCTGCATTTAATATTTTGCACTGGGTGCTAATTAGTTTTTTCATGTATTTACTAGTAATTAGTTTTTCATTTAATGCTGTGCCCTGGGAGTAATTACCTTTGGTTTTAATACTCTGCATTTGTAGTAGTTATTGTTTCAGTTAATACCATGATTATTTGTTGCATTTAATGCCTTGCACTTGTAGTAACTTATGTATTTAATGTCTTGCACTTTTAGTGGTTACTTTTCCCTTCAATTCTGTGCATTTACCAGTAGTAACTTCTGGGTTTAATGCTTTGCACTTGTAGTAATTATTACATTTAGTGCTGTGCCCTTATAGTAATTACTCTTGCATTTGGTGCAGTTCATGTGTAGTAATTACTTCTTGCAATTAATGCCATGCACCTGTAGTAATTCCTTCTGCATTTAAAGCTGTGCACTTCCTAGTGGTTAATTTTCCACTGTATGCCGTGCACTGGTAGGAATTACTCCTGGACTTGTAGTAATTACTCGTTGCACTTAATAGCACGCACCTGCAATAGCAACTTCTGCACTGAGTTCTGTGCACTTGTAGTAATTATTTTTGTGTTTAATGCCACCTACTTGGAGTAGTTGCTCTCTCATTAAGTGCTGGGCACTTGCTGGTGGTTGCTCTTGCCTTTAATCCCCTCTTAGTAATTTCTTTCCCAATTAATGCCTTGCGCTTCCAAGGTTTCATTGGCCTTTAATGCCATGGATTTCTGTACCTGCCTGTGCTGCAGCTGCTGGCCAAAGTCACCTTCTAGAAAGGGATGGATTAATAGAAAATAACAGAAATTACAACAGTCCCTTGTGCATCTGAATACCTCATTTTCAGTTTTATCGAAAATGTTGGAGCTGAGGCCCCCAATTTTATTGTATTTTCCTGGTCTGTAATCATCTAAGTATAAGACAGTAAGCAAATCATTTCTGTGATCCATAAATTTACAGGGATAAATGTATTTTTGTGGGATCTGGGATAATGGGACAAATGTGTTGAGTTTTAATGGGAATTAGTGGACAACAACAAGTTTGAATTCTCATTTTAATGGATCAATATATTGTCAAAAGCTGGCTACAGCAACTTAATGAGGAATTCAATATTATCCTGCCTTATCCTCTCTGTATTTACCCAAGTTTTAGGAGTTAATAGGGATAATTATCCACTGCTATTCCACTACTTCTTTCTCATTGCTTTAAATTAGCACAATGTGATTTATCATTGGGGTTAATTAGCAGAAATACACACTTAATTCCAGTCCAAATAGACTCAGAGTCAGCATTACAGCACAGGCTGGAGTATTAATGTATTTTTGCTTGCTCTGCTCTAAAAGTATGAACATGAAGAAATTAAAATTAATTAATGATGACCTCAAAGGGGCAGTGCATGGGCATCACCCTTTTTTAACCATATTCCTGCTTTAATAAGTCCAGTCTTTAAATGGGAATTTCTATTCCTAACAGCACCTGTAAATCTGATTTTCTGCCTCACTGGAAGCCCAGAGTGATGTTCAAGCCTAAACGAATGAGGGGTGGGGAAAAGAGGGGTGTAAGTGACTGTACTCCACTTAACCTTTGGAACATGGAAAGGTTGGAGGAAATTGGGATAAAGCGAACACAGAAAATGCAGCACTGACTCTTAAACACTGGAACACCAAAACAACCTGATTAAAATGAATTAAATTGATTATTTTTATTAGCCTTGGAATTCTAGTCTTTTATTAGCCTAAATGGATGATGAAAACAGCAAGGAAAAGCTGTGACAGCCAGAAATTTGTCCTCAAAGTGCTTGAAGAGCCCTGTGTGTTGGAAATCAGAAGATTGTCATGGGAATAACTGGAGAAATGTGTTTTTTTCTTGCAGGGAGGATGTCAGGACAGCCAACGTCATCGCAGCTGAAGCGGTCACTTGTCTGGTCATAGACAGAGAGTAAGTTCCTCCTTCTGCCTGGGGGAAAACTGCAATTTAAACCTTTTCCAGAGCTTAATGAGAGCCTTGGATCATCTTCTCCAGAGTGGCCTCTTAATTTGGGGTGATAAAGTCACAGAATTGATGAATGGAGGGAAGGTGCCCCTAAATTATCGAGACAAAACTCAATAGTGACAATTAGAAAACTCAACAGTGACCATTGCAAAACTCAATAGTGACAATTAGAAAAATCATCAGTGATAATTACAAAGCTCAATAGTGACTGTTAAAATCACAGAAAGTCCAAATGGAAATAGAGGAGGAGCTGGAATTACTGTGCAAGTTCCACAGTATTTTCTCCTGGCAAATGTTGGAGCAAGGTGTTATCCCAGTCCACGTGGGGATGGAGAGTCCTTGGGAGAAGGCCACAGCCCTGCTGGGAGCTCTGTCACTCAGAGGAGATGCAGGAGATCAGAAGAGTAAAATAATAGTTTATACAGGAAGCTTGAGAGAATTAAGGGGAGTTAATCCAGAAAAAAACTGTGCCTGGATGCTCCAGTGTTGCAAGTCCAGCTGCTCTCTGCAGTTACTGGGGATGGGATTAAAAATAACATAAAAATGGAACATGATTCCTGGGCTGGTTTTCCTGTTGTGCAGCACTGGCACAGATTAGAACAAGGCATGGACACTCCCAAGATGATGGGAACCTTTCCATGGGAATGTGCTATGGATCTGTGAAACCCACAGAGAGGGTGAATAGAATTTCACTGCAGGAGCCCCAAAAAACCTGCAGGAGGGAGCCAGAAATTGTGGAATAACAATGAAAAATTGCTGATGTTGGAAAGGAAAATAAATCCATTGTATTTTTGAAGTATGTGGGACCCACCTGTGGGCCTGGAGAGCAGTGTGGATAGTTGGGTGTCTGGGCAGGTCCAGGAGCTGGATCCATGATCCTTGTGGATCCCTGGAAGAAATTCTGGAGCCCTTCTTGTGTTCTGGTGAGAGATGGGATTCTGTGATCCTTTAGGGCTCATCTCCATCCCCTCAATCCTGTGGTTTATGTTATCTCACAGGCCTCCATTTCTGGAAATCCAGCGTTCTGCACAGGCTGAGCTGGGAAAAATCTTCAGGAATCCTGATAAGTTCTGATTTATGTTAATTCATTATTAATTGCAAAACCCATGGTCTGTCCATTGAACACAAATGGGGGACACCTGAGGCTCGTTCCTCAGTCTGATAGGTAAAACCTCCAGCCTCCCTTCTCATGCTGTGGGGCTAAGAGAGGAAGGAGAATTTTATTATTTAGCAGGATAATATTTTTATATTTTTATGTTTTTAATAATTAGATAATTTAGCAATCATTAATTCATAGAAACAAAAGCAATGAATAATTTACACTTTTTATTTTTACACTTTTGCAGCAGGTACTTTTGGTTTGCACTGTGAGAATTAAAAACCCCAAATAATTCAAGTGACCCATTCCTGATAATTTCCCAGACTGGTCCTTTCCTTGTCTCCTGTGCCTTGTCCTCAGCAGTCAGTGCCCTTGAAATAGTGAGGAAGTACAAGTTAAATTTAAACTGATGAAGCTGTGGTTAATCTACCTTAGAGATTCTGTTAACACTGTGCAATTAGCAGAGTAACACTATTTAAAAAATCCTTATTTATAGGGCAAGAAAAGTGACCCTATTGATGGCCCTATTTATAGCTCAGAGCAGGCTGTCCTGTGTCCTGGCCAGTGCTGAATTTCATGTCCCAGCTCTTCCTTAGGCTGTTATTTTATAGGAATGACAACAGCAGGAGCATCATTTCATGTGGAGATAAACTCCCAGGACTTGTGGCAATTTGGGAAATTGGTTGAGGAAAAAAGAACCAATTTTTTATATCCAGACAGAGCAAATTTTTACATCTTTTGGGTTGTGGTGGTGGATGAGAACGCTGAGTGACACCGGAGGCGGCAGTGGGAGCAGGGAGTGGGTGCTCCCTGCAGCTGGAATTCGTTCCCTGCAGCAGGAGGGGTGACACAAGTCACTGAGGCTGCCAAATATTTTCCTTTTCCCAGACAAACTCTTTGCCTAATCAGATGGAACCACTGAAGCAGCAATTTCCATGCTCTGTGGGTGTCCCCATCTGAAGCAGCTCAGCAAAACTGGCGTTGCAGTTTCAAAAAAAACAAGTGATGGGAAAAGACCTGAACACATGGAATTCCTGGAGAATTCCAGCCTCACTGACCAGCATCACCCATTGGAATTATCTGCAGCAGGATAACTCTTCCAAATTCCTTGTGGAAGGCTTCCCAAGGCATCCAAAAATTGTTCCAGTTGCCACATCTCATTAACAAAGTCACACCTTGGTGCCACAGGAAGTTATTCCTAAGGGAGGCATGAGCCTGGCTCTGGATTTGCCAATTTTTCCAGCAATTTTAGGGCTGATTTAGCTGCTGCAGTGTTTGTAGTTTGGGGGTGAAAAATGTTGGAAACTTTCATCCCAGGGATGAGCCAGGAGCTCTGGGCAAGTTGGGTTGGAGAAGGGAATTGCTTAAGTTGAATTTGAGAAGGGAATTGCTGAAGTTGGGTTTGAGAAGAGAATTATTTAAGTTGGGTTGGAGAAGAGAATTGCTTAAGTTGTGTTGGAGAAGGGAATTGCTTAAGTTGGGTTGGCTCTGAAGTTGCCAATTTTTCCAGCAATTTTAGGGCTGATTTAGCTGCTGCAGGGTTTGTTGTTTGGGGGGTGAATAATAGGGGAAATTTTCATTACAGGGATGAGCCAGGATCTCTGGGCAAGTTGGGTTGGAGAAGGGATTTGCTTAAGTTGGATTTGAGAAGGGAATTGCTTAAGTAGGGTTGGAGAAGAGAATTGGCTTAAGTTGAGTTTGAGAAGGGAATTGCTTAAGTAGGGTTGGAGAAGGGAATTGGCTTAAGTTGAGTTTGAGAAGGGAATTGCTTAAGTTGGGTTGGAGAAGGGAATTGGCTTAAGTTGGGTTTGAGAAGGGAAATGCTAAAGTTGAGTTTGAGAAGAGAATTGTTTAAGCATGACAAGGGGGAATGCTTTGCCTAAAAGGATGTCTGGAATTTATAAAATATGTATAAAATGGCTACAGGGCTGAAGCAGCAGGAGTGGGAAATACCACAAGGGAAGTCAAACTGGAGCTCATGATGGGTCTTTAATTACCAAATGATGTTGGTGCTGCCTTGCTTTTTAATTTCCTTGTGAAACAAGAGGGCTCTTCCAGTCTCAAAAACACCCCAAAGACTCCCAAAAAGTAGTACAGCTATTTTTGCCGATCTAGGAAGATGTGCTTTGCTAAGTGCATTTCCAGCATCCTTTTCTGGTCTAGGAATGAGCAAAATCATGATCCAACAATGAAAACAACTTGCAGAAAGCATTTGTTGCATCCCATGGGCTTTGTTCCCACTTGTCCTTGTCTTGAAAATATTTGTTACAAAAAGTATTGGTACTTTTCCCATCTTGCAGTTGTGTTTTTGAGTCCCTTCCTTTACGGGAATAATGAATTTCAGTGGGATTTGGTCCTTAATCCTCTTAATCCTTCCCTGTGAGGGTGGGGAGGCCCTGGCACAGATTCCCAGAGAAGCTGTGGATGCCTCTGGATCTCTGGAAGTGTCCAAGACCAGGCTGGACGGGGCTTGGAGCACTCTGGGATAATGGAAGGTGTCCCTGCCCATGGCACTGGATAGGATTTCAATTCCCTTCCAAAAACTCAAACTTTTCTAGAAATTCTATGGTTCCCATTGGGAGCACCATTCATTTTCGTTCCCCAAGGAAGAAAGCCAAAAAATTGTGTAGTCCTACCTGGTCAGGTGTATTTGAAAGAAAGAATTTGGAATTCAGACAAGGAAATATTCCAAGGAATTTCCCATTATCATCAAAATTTCAACACAGAAGGGGAGGTACGGTAATCCAGTAGGGAAAATTAAGTCAGAGGGTGACAAGGGTGAGGAAATGAAGTGACAGCCCTGTGAGGGACCACAGGAAGGCTCCATGCTCAAGCTCTCTGGTGAGTTTGGATTGGTTTATCCAATGTTTTTCCTGCCATGGAGCACAGACCCAACCATGTGCTTATGGAATTGGCTTGGAAACTTCAACAAAATCCACACAGCCTTCACGGGAATTGTGACAAAAAAGGCCAGCTGGATATCTGACCATCTGAGGGAATTTGGAGAAGCTTTTGGGCACTTGAGGAGCCACAGAGCTCATTGCAGCCCCAGCATTTCCTGCTGCTCAAACCTCCACTCTGGGAACACACATTAATATTTTACAGCACCTCTCAGATGGCTTTAAGACATTTTTATTTCCAAGTGCTTTTTTTTTTTAAATTTATTTACAATTCATGGACTTTCTGTCTTTAGGACTTGCCTTGACCCTACAAGATCAAGGCTGTTGTTAATGAAGTTTTTCCTGTGGTGGCACTGCAGGAATTCATCCTCTGGGAAAAAAGTTACCCTGGGAGCTGCTCGATGGTGCTGCCTCCAAATTGTTCTGAGCTTGGCCTTGTCAGAGCTCATCCTGGTGAATTTCCAGGCTCCTTGGAGGCGTTATTAGATTTGTTCCAGAAGTCAATTTGGGGAAAAGTTAACAAATATGAGCTGGATTTGATGGATTGGTCCTTTAGGAACTTGTCTGTAAAAGGTCTTCTGATAAAAATGGTGCAGACACGCCTTGAGCATCTGTTCTGTGGATCAGTTGGAATAAAGATGCACAGACAGACTTCACTTGCAGCCCCTTTGTATGGAGAGAAAACAGGAGGGAAGGGTTCCAAACTCATTCCTGACGTTTGGATCATCACTGGCACCCTCAGGGACGAGTTGGTGCCACTCTATAATTCTTTTTTTTTTTTTTTTCACACCTACCTCTTGAAACTGAGAAAGTGTTTGAAAGTGTTTGTGGCTGCTCCTGAACTGTCGGAATATTTACACCGAGGTTGATTCGGGTTCATCTTTTATTTATATGGGATTTTTTTTCCCCTCCATATAATTTATTTATGGTGCCAACAACGTTTTCCTGGAGCTCGGAGATTTAGCAACACTGTGGGTGTTGGGAGGACAAAATTGCCTCATGCAAATGGAGAGAGAGAGGAGCTGATGGATCAGAGCCAGAACAACTCAAAGCCCAGCTGCTGCTGACAGAGAGTTACAGAATTACCTGGAATTTACTCCAAATGCTGTTTCTCCAGCTTCTTGTCTTCTTCAGCTGCACATATCAATAGGATGCATAATTTTTTAAGGCAACATTTTAAATATTTCAACTATTTTTTGTTTTCCACTTTGCATTTCCCATTTTTGTCTGTGTTTCAAAGTTTGGGTTTGGTTTTTTTTTCAGGGAGAGCTGTGAGGTGTCAACAAAGGTTATTGGATCGGCCCTCCTGGCAAGGGAAATTGGAGAAAAATGAAATAAAAAAGTATTATCCTGGCATGACTGACCCCATATAAGCTGAGCCGAGCTCTTTCAGTGGAGATTTTAGGGTTTGCTGCTCTGCTGTTTCTCCCAGTCAGAGCAAAGTTTATCCATGGAGAAAATTGGTTATGAGGAGAGAATAGAAAAAATGAAGAGAAAAGGCCACGGGGAGAAAAAAACCCGAGCAGTTTCTGATTGAATTCTGGGACTGAGCTGAGACTTCAACAACGTTGAGATGAGCAATAAAAAAGGGACTCAAGTGAACTTTGATAGCTTGCCCAGTGCTAAATCTGGCTTAAAATTTTTAATAAAAATTAAAGGGTTTAGATAAAATGTTGTTGCTCCTTTTGGTGATTTTTTCTTCTTTGCTGTTTCACTGGAAAAGATGTATTGCATTGCCAAAAAAAGGGGGTTTTTAACCCTGCCACATTTTCCTAAGCAAATCAAGCCTAAATCACAATTTAAGCCTTAGGTTTTGCTTTATGGCCTTCCAGGATGGTGTTGCTGTGTTAATTAATTGCCTAAATACCTGTTTGGGGTGCAATTAGGCATTAACACCCCAATCCTGCTTTTGTCTCACTCTCACCTTCAAGGTTTGGTTTCATCCTGTGGCACATTCCCAGCAGCAGGAAGATAAAACTTGAGGTGCTGAAGGAGCTGAGTTGTTCCTGTTTTCATTGCTGAGCAAGGAATTTGGGGGTTGAAAAGTTACTCCCATTATTAACATGTCCTAATAATAAAAATATTAGTTATTAGATTGGGTAAAACCCACTAACACGTGTTTATATGAGAGCAAAGGGTTTGTGCCTTCTCTTCCTCATTAATGAATTAATTAATTTGCTTGCCTGGCAGGACACTGCATTTCCCCAGCTGCCCTGGATTTCCCTCACCTGCTCAGTGCCATTCATTCTCTTTGATCCTACAAATCCTCCTTGAGAAAGGTTCATGTTAAACATCCCCTTCTTATTCCTTATGTCAGAAATGTGGCTTTTTCTTTTATTTTTTTCAATGTTTCATTTTTTGTCAACTTAGAGCAATTCCTTTTCTCAAGCTCTGTGTTTTGTGCCTCAGGAGTGTCAGGAGCACAGAAGAATTGCAGGATTTTCATTTGTGAGGCTGTGACATTAAGGCAGAGATCAGTCAAGAGACTCTGGTTTGCAGCAGTTCATCTTTTCAAACTCTTCTTCCTTGAAAAAAAGAAAACCTGCATGGGACAGACCCACTGGGAATACTGGAATTGGATAGTAAAAAGTAGCTTTTCACCTGGAATATTTTTGTTTCAAGGCATTCACTGATTTCAGTTATTAATTTCTGTTTTTTCATGGAATCCCAGGATGGTTTGAGATGGAAGGGATATTAAGGATCATTCAGTGCCACCCCTGCCATGGCAGGGACACTTTCCACTGTCCCAGGCTGCTCCAAGCCCCAAAGTCCAGCCTGGCCTTGGGCACTGCCAGGGATCCAGGGGCAGCCACAGCTGCTCTGGGAATTCTGTGCCAGGGCCTGCCCACCCTCCCAGGGAACAATTCCATCCCAATATCCAACCTGAATTCCCTCTCATTCAGTTTGATATGTTTTTGGATGCTTTTTCTCTGAAGGTGAGAAAGCTGGGATCCAAAGTGAACATTTCACTTTGGAAGCAGAGGGATTCACAGGGTTCCTGGTTGGAGGACAGGGATGTTATGGTTGAGGTGCCCCCACCAGCCACATTTGCTCTGAAACTTCTACTGGAGGGTGAAAACCTTCAGCAGCCCTTTCAGTGGGCTGGATAAATAATTTTGGATCTTTTTGGCGTTGGTTTCTGCATCTCCAGCATTCCTGAGGCCTGGGCCTGGTGGGTCACCAGCATGGAGATCCAGCCCAGATTGATGCCAAAAAGCCACACTGGATTTCTTGGCTCCCAGGTGGAATCTCTTCAGTTTCAGTGGTGGACCTGCTGGGACTGGATGATCTTCAGGGTATTTTCCAATCTTGGTGATTCTGTGATTTTCCTCTCAAAGTGTCCTTTTGTCTTTACAGCTCCTTCAAGCACCTGATTGGGGGCCTGGATGACGTCTCCAACAAAGCCTATGAGGATGCAGAAGCAAAAGCAAAGTAAGTGCTCAGCATCAAGTCTCAAACTTCTGTTTGTTGAATTCCACTGGAATTCCCAAAAACCCCTCCTTGTTCTCCATTCAATAATACCAAACTGCTTAAAAAGGAGAGATTCCTCCTGTGGATGGAGGAATTTTCCTCCTCGTGTCTCCCTGGTTCTCCCCATGAATATGGAGATGGGTCTTCTCCAAAGCCAGGTGGTCCCAAGGTCCTGCTCAATCACAGTATTTGAATCCAGAAATCCTCTTGAAATACTGAGATGAGAAATACATTGTGAGGTGAGAAACTCCAGATCTTGGAATTGCACTTGAGGGAATTGTCGTTGAGGGAATTGTTGTTGAAGGCATTTCATTTCTTTAGAGAGCTCTGACCTTTCTCAAATACCTTCCAAAGTCAAACATGTTCTGAGACAAAGGATGGGCAGTGGAATTTGTCATTTGAGGATAAAAACTAGAGCTGCCTTGATGTGAAGTAGTACATTCATCTGAAGTCCACAATAAATATTCATTCCTTTCAAAAGGGAGCTGTAGAGTATTAGATTAAAATATTTTTAAACGCCCCACTTTTTATTAATTCTTGAGCTGCAATTTGATTTTAATCTGTAATCTTTGAGCTCTGATTCTATCCCAATGATTAAAGCTTTTCAAGAGGATCCTGTTCTTCTTTGGGAGATGCTCAATATCAACCAAACACAACTGAAAGGCAGAAGTTGTTGAAAAGAAAATTAAATTTGCTCTATACAAAATTTCTTTACTTTTGCTCCCTCTCAATTATTTTGCTTTTATGGGGATTTTTTTCATAGCACATTAATGAAGGGGGGAAGTGTTTTCTCAAAGTCAAATGCTCTGAGTGACTGCTTAAATTGCAGATTCCAATGGGGTTATACATAGAAACTTCTCATTAAACCACAGGGGTTGGAATGGTGTCTGCTGAAGGTATTGGGCACCTATGTGGAGGGAAAGTGAGAATTCCCAATTAAGTATTGATTAAAAATAACTCTTGGTCTGTTTCAGAAACCAAGATCCATCTCAAAAGTCTTCAGTTCATTAGCAAAACTTGTTAATCCTGCAAAATACCCATAGATTATTTCTCTTTTCTTATGTTTAAGTGATGTTTCAAATATTATATTTAATTAATTTTAAGGTGTTAAAAGAGTTGCATTTTAGATTGGAATTATATTTCCCTGCCTCAGATCAAACGTGACCTTCCTTCTTATAAAGAGTTCCATTAAAAAGATTAAATTCTCTAAATTCTTGTTGACCCAATTAAAAAGGTGGGAGACTATCACCTTCCTTTATCATCCCCCTAAAAAAGGGGGTTTGGGGCATGGAATGCTTCACATAGAAGATCCCAAATATCCCAGGGTCATTCAGTTATTATTTTATATTAATTTTTGAGTGTTTCTATTTGGGTTATATTGATTTCCATCAGAGCAGAAGGGAAGAAAACATTGGGAATAACACTGGGGAATTTTGGGTTGGGTCATAAACAATGTCATGGTCACAGAAGGTTTTTGAAGGTGCCACCACAACCCATTAGCACAAAGAAAAATGTGCCCTCCCCACATCTCTAATTTTAAGCTCTATTATTGAGTATTTATTATCCCAGAGACATTGGGGATGCAGATTGAGGAGATTTTGAGGGTAGTTAATGGAATTTTAGGATCTGCTGTACAATGTGGGAGGAGCTGCAGTTTGGGGCCTCTTTGGAAGAAACTCTTCCTTTTGGAAGCCACCGGATTTTGACCTTCACATTTTGGAGCTTTCATCTTCTCCAGTCCTTTCCTTCTAATGCCAAGTGTTTCATCCCAATGGAAGGGCAGGGCTCTGCTGATGGAGGAATTGTTCCCTAAAAGGCTGAACCAATTAATTTTCATAGCAACTTTTTTATCTTTAAAATCAGAGGCCCGTGCTGGAGCCCTGTCACTGCAGAGTAGGGGTGACAGTGACATTATTGTCACATCTTGACATTTTGCCTCAGACAGAGCAGGAGTGATCAGTGTTGTCTGCCTGGAAAAGCATCCAAAAAAAGGAATGTCCTATTGAAAAATAGAGTATTGAGCAATTAAATTCCATATTCCTGTTTGCTGGGCTCCTTAAAAACCAGCAGAAAGATGGATAGAGGCAGGAAAAATTGTAAAGTTCTTTGAGGAGAGACCCCAGAAGAATTGTGAGCCCTTCCAGAAAGTTTTAGTGTTCCAGAGGCAAAACTCCTTGGGAGAAAAGTCTCCTTGGCAGCAAGTTTAACCTGGATTCCTTTGCAAGCAGCAGTTAATTAGCTCCAGCTAATTGTCCTTCAAGGCCTATTTTTTTCCAAGGGGAGGTTTGTGATAGGGAAGAACTGGGAACATAAAACGTGGGCAGGTTTGTGAGGCTTTATGCAAATCCCATGGAATGTTTTTGCTCGTCTTTTTTTAGCTCCCGTCTCCTTTTCAGAGCTCACTGCCAGCTGGGAAAAGGCCTTGGGATGCCTCTTGGGGAACACATGGATCAGGATGACCGAGGCCAGCTTGGGCAGGATTGGTGTAATAGGAGGTGGAAGAGGTTGGGCTTTGAGGTCTCTTCCAACCCAAACAATTTTAGGACTGTAAATGCCTACAAAACTAGTGGCACTGGGGTTTTTTTCCCATTTCCATGCTGGAGCACATCCCTGGAGTCACAGAGCTCAGGGCATGGCTGAGAGGATGTTAGGCAGAAGTTACAGGCTTGGAATATCTTTCCATGTATCCATCTGTCCTCCAGGCCTGGAAGAGCTGAGCTATTTATTGTTTATTCTTATTTTAGAGGCATTTTCCTGCTTTTTGTCAGCTTGGGGTTGGCAGTTCCCTTGAATGTCCATCCTTGGTGTTCCCTCTCTTAAATCAGCAATTGCAGACACGTCATCTGTGAGACCAAGATTTTAATTGTAGGCTATGATTTTAATTATAGGATTGTGCAGGCTATAATATGAATTATAATATTCTACTCCTTGAATGTATTCAAATGACTTAATGAATTAATTAACTAATGGATATTATAGTTGCCTCCTAAAAAGGGAAGGAGAGAGGAAAATTTGCTTCATGCTCAAGGAAATGGGAGTCTAGAAGACTCCCAGTGTCCCAGCGCCAGGGCCAGCCACGGTGGCATTTAGGGCATGAAGGAGATGCCCAAATAATCAGGATTATCTCAGTGTAGGTTGCTTCCAGATGGAGCCACTCCAGCAGCTTCCATAAATCCATGAGGACGCAGGAGGGTGGCTTCTGCTGCAGCTGGTGGTGCCAAGTGGGGTGAGGTTCAGTGACCCCCTTTGCTCAGGGCACGCCAATCCCTCCTGCTGGGCTCATCCCAACCTGGGAACTCTTGGCATTGATCCCGTGCAATTATTGGACCCTTACCAAGGCTGCAGAGGTTCCTCTCTATCTGGTGGTACAGCCACACCACTGAGGTGTCCCTTGTCACCCAGCTGGGACAGCTGGCACTGCCTGGCTGTGCCCAGCCAAGCACAGCCCCCAGAGGCACTGTCCCAGTGCTCCCATCACATTCCCAGCTGGCTCCAGTGCCCGTCTCCTGTGGCAGCAGGGCTTGGGATTGATCCCCAGCTGAAGCCTTGGTGTCTTGAGAAGGTTGACCTAGAACAGAGTTAAAGAATAAAGCAGGGATTTATTAACAGGATCTCCTCCATGGATCCACCTTGGGCAGCACAAGAGCCCAGCCAGGGCTGCACCCAAGGTGAACCAAAATGGGCACAAAATGGACACCTGGTTGTGGGGTCTGTCACTTTGATCAGTTCTGCTCCATTTGCATATTGGAGTTCATTGTCCAATTCCAGCTTTAGGTTATGAAGTCCCACCCTTCTCATATTTCTGTCTTCACCATTGTTTATACTTTTTGGCCTGGAGCTTGTAACAGTTGTCTTTGGTCTCAAGTTGGAAAAGGATTGTTTTGTCTAACTAGCCTGTGAAGAGAACTTGCTGACACTCCATATGAAGCTCAGAGTTACACACTAAAGCAGCGCAGAATCTGAAAAATATCAAAACTAAGACTTAAGGCATCAGCCTGGACTCTGGTGCCTTCATGCCGTTGCTCCAAGCTCTCTGCAGGTTGTTCTGACTGCACGTCTCCCTTGTTTTATTTCCCATCCCAGCTGTATGGCAGCCCTGGGGGAATGTCTGGATACTCACAGCCAAAATCAGCTGCTTTTCCCAGAGCTTGAGGGGACAGGGACCTTTATTTAGTCTATGATGCCTTTCCATGTTCTTGCAGCTCCAGAGCCCTTCATCTTTCTGGAGCTGTGTTTTAATGAAGAGCTTCATTAACAGCTGGACTCAGAGGTCTGAGAGCTCTTTTCCAACCTGAATGATTCTATCTAAACCTTCTGTTTCAGTCCCCTTTCCTAGTCCTCTTTTTCAGTCCATGAGATGTCCTTTCTTTCACCTTACACCCCCTCTCTCACTCCATTTATTCATAAAAAAGCATCCCAGGAGTTCATTGACTTAATTTTGCTGCAGACTGTGGTTATAATTTTTTTTCCCTTTTATATACCTATGGAAATGAATCAATATAAAAGTATAAAGATAATGAATCAATATAAAAGTATAAAGATATCTAAGGAAAAAAAAAAAAGGGTAAGAGGAGAGACAGTAGAGGAAAGATCCCATCATCCAGAAATGAGACTTGGTTGTTGCAATTTTGATATCTGTGGGTCCAAGTGATGGCCACAGTCTTATCCACTGAGGATGAGGAAACACACTGAGGCTGTATTGGCCATTTAGCTTCATAAAAAGGAGCAGAAACCAGTTTATCTTCATGGAAACTCCTGTTTTGGTGTGATGGAAAACCTTGGGAAAGCTCTGCCTGCAGATGCTGCCTGTGCAGGGCTCTGTCCAGCCTGCTGGGTTGGACATCCAGCCAGCCCTAGGGTTGTGTGGCTAAAACAGCCCTGGGTGTTAGAGAAGAATGGTTTTATTTTGTTTATAAATACAACTGAGATAGATTTTAACCACTGCCAGAAGGGAAATGGGC